TCGACTTTAAATTAAGCTATCTAGGAAAGCTACTAGGCGATAATAATTCGGGTAGGCCTTTAGGTAGGGTAAGCGATTTCTAGGCTATAGCGTAGCCGGTAGTAAGCGAAGCGCCTCTAGCCTCGGGCTTATCGGGATACGCCTGGGTATAGCGTACCGGGAGTCGCATACCGGGTCGGGCTACGTCGATCTATATGTTCTCGTGCACGTTCCATCGTTAATTCTAGATTCCGTATATCTTTTTTACTATCTTTTATTTCTTATAATCGTCTTGAAAGATAATAGCAGCGTTTACGGCTTTATCCTATTCCTAATAAAGCTTTCGGAGTAACTCGGCTATAAAAAAGCATAATAAGACCTTCTCGTCGGCTAGCCCGCGTCCGACGCCCTTATCGGTCGCTAGCTTTCGGGGGGTTTTTACCTTATTAGCAGTAGACCTATTTTTCTTCGTCTCGAGCGCCTCGACGTATTTATCTTTGTTAATTTCTCCTTATTCGGCCCTCCGTCGATCGACTTTATTCCCTCTGAACCCTAGCCATTCTCTACTTCGTACTTAGCCTTCTTAAGATTATATCGCTGTTACTCTCCGAAGTTAAAAGGTCCTTTAGTATAAGTTAAGCATAGAGCCTCGACTATCTCCGCGTAAATAAAGTAGCTTATCTTAGTACTAACTAGCTTAGATAAACTAGGGTACTAGCTCGGGAAATAATTAATTAATTTAGGCTAGTAAGATACGATAGTATTAAGGGCGAAAGGTAGCCTGCGATATAGGCTCGAGATATAAGGGCGTAGAAAAGAAAGATTAAGGAGGTAAGAACTTTTCTAGATATACTTATTACTAGATATACCTATATATTATTAATAAGAAAGCAAGCTCTATAATATAAACGATAAAGCTAATAAGTTCGATAATAATAAGGTTAATAGGTTCGACGAAATTAATAAAGGACGTTTACGTTATTAATAAAAGAACTCGACGAATCGGCTGCTTGGTATAAGGATATAGTGTCACGGTTTTAAGAGCTGTTCGCTGGGTAAAAGCCGTTTGTTAATGAACTGAAGCTAGACGAGGAGAAAAAGGAGAAAAAGGTACGCCGTATAGGCCGTACCTATAATAGCTAGCCTTATCTTCCGTAGGTACTAAGGGCCTGATTACGTACTATGCCCTAATATTAGCTAGGGCCTTACTATAGGCATAGCCTATTATATAAGGTCCCCTCCCGGAAAAAAAAAAAAATAGGTACGCCTTGCCGCCCTTTTTTTCGGCGTCTAGCCCTAATAACTTAACTCGTTTTCTTCCCACGCCTTAGGATACGTACCGCATCCTTAGGTACTGCCTCCGTTTCCCGGGGTACGCTACTCGCTTCCCGGGTTATTACCTCCGCCGCTTAGAGTATTAATATATCCCTAGGCCTCCTTCCGTTCGTACGTTTCCCGGGGTATTAATACCCCCCGGGTATAGCCTTATTCTCCTTCTCCTTTCCGGCGGTTATACTATACCCCGGGGTCTCCTCCTCCGCCGTTTCCTTCCCGGGGCCTTTCGTTTCCCGGGGTACTATACCGGGCGCCTCTAGCCCCCCGGCGCTCTTCCCCCGGGTCCTATTCTTCCCCGGGATCTCCTCCTCTTCCGTAAGTCTCCCGGGTTTCTTCGCCTACCGGGTACGCTCTCCCGGTAGCTACTCCCCCCGAGAACCCCTCTTCCTATCCTCCTCCTCTTAGGATACTACCGGCGCTCCGGGTATTATCTAACTCCCCGGTATATCATTTCCCTAGGGCCGCCGTTTCCGTCTCCCGGGTTACGTTATCCGCTTCCCGGGCTACTAATCCCGATCCTTTTATTAAACCGTAGAGCTTTAAAGCCCCGCGTACGAAGTCGCTTATAAGCGCTTGCTAGGTCTAGCCTAGCTCCCGTAGCTACGGGATCGTCGGTCCGTCTACCGCCGTTTAAAGACCCTCGTTTATCTTCCGCTAACGGAGCGAGGGCTCCGCTTAAGGGCGTGCTAAGGTACGTCCTTCTTTCTACTATCGTTAAGAGGCCTACGGCCTCTCTTACCGTTTAAAGGCTAGGGGCCTATCCTTCCGTTTAAAGGCTAGAGGCCTATCCTTCCGTTTAAAGGCTAGGGGCCTATCCTTTCGTACTACTAGCGGAGCCGCGAGGCTCCGCCGGAGGACGTACTAAGGTACGCCGTCCCTATTCGTTTAAAGACTATCGTCTATCTATATATTATTAGCGGAGTTTAAAGGGCTCCGCCTAAGGACGCGCGAAGGCGCACCTTCCCGTCTGCTACTAGCGCCGCTAGCGCCCTTATCGATGCTACTAAGAGACCGGTTATCTCTCCGAAAACCGCTAGTACCTCTAGTGCCTTTATCGAAGTACTATTATCCTAGCTTAATCTATCGTTTCGTCGCTATTCTAACGCCGTTCCTTCTTATGTTACGCCTCGGGCGTTCTTAACTCGTCGATAAGCGCTATGCTTTAGCGCTTTACCATCTTTCTCCGGAAAAAACTTTTCCGCCGTTTTTAGCCGTATTTTTCGTCGATTTCGTCGTTCTTTTATCTCGAAATTACCGTTTAAATCTGCGTTTTCTCGGGGTTATCGGTCGTTTCTTAGGTTATTTTATCGGTCTTCGTTCGTAGTAGCTACCGGCGCGTATGTCTAAGACTAATACCGCCTTTCTAACTGCTAACTTAGCCAGCGTAAACGCTAACATCGCCTTTCCTACTGCTAATCCTACGTGCTAAGATACTGCTGCTATCGTCGGTCCTCTTCGTAGGGGCTGCCGGTGCGTATATCTAAAAGCTAATACCGCCTTTCCGACTACTGGCTTAGTACCGCTTCTCTAAGGGCTATATCGCCGTTCCTGCTATTAATTCCGCTCGCTAAGATGCTAACCCGTAAAACGATAAAAGAAGGTTGGTTTAGCTTTTTGTTACGGTTTTAAGAGCTATTCGCTAGGTAAAAGCCGTATATTAATGAACTAAAGCTAGACGAGGAGAAAAAGGAGAAAAAGGTGCGCCGTGTAGGCTGTACCTACAACAGCTGGCCTTATCCTCCGTAGGTGCCAAGGGCCTGATCACGTGCTATGCCCTGGCACTAGCCAGGGCCCTACTATGGGCATAGCCCATTACATATAGGCCCTTCTCGATTAATATTAATTAGGAAATATATGCTTTGTCTATAAAGATATTAATAGGCTTATAATAAAGAGTATATACCTAGGTCGAAGGCATTAGATTCCCTATAATAACTACTAAAGGCCTAGAAATTCTTATTATATTTACTATGTATAGCGTTTACGTTACCTATTAAGCCATAGAAAACTATATATAATGCTATTTACTACGACGGGGCTGGCTAGGGCTAGAGTCGCAAGCGAGGCCCTAGGGTTTATAATAAAGTAGATAACATAGGTAAATATCTAGCTAAGGATAATCGCGGTCACTTTCTAACTAACTTAATTACTACCGTCTTATAGTTAGGTACTTACGTATTATAAGTTATTACTCGAATAATAAAGAATACTAATTAATATAGCTAACCTAGGTTATTCTATGAAACCTTATTTATGGCTTTATATTCCTATCTCGTAACCGAAATATAATTAATTTTAAACTAGGAGATATCGTAAATGCCTTACTTTACTACCCTTTAGAGGTTCCGATGCCTCTTAACGCATAAGATATACTATAAGGAATCGTATTTAAATATGTAAATAGATTTTAGTTAGGTATATGAGTATTAATATAAAAGTAGTAGCTTATATATATTACGAGTTATTAATAGGGGTTATATTAGTGAGTATAGAGGGCTTTACCGGCGACTCGAATAAACCCGCTCGTAACCTGCCTAACTAGGGCTATGATTAAAGCGAAGGGAGTCATTATTAACTCCAAGGCCGTAGCGATTAACTTTAGCTCTACGGAAGTCCTAGGAACGGTTCTTTTCTTTTCTTTGCCAGACAAGGGTGGTTATAGAGGCGGTAGGTATAAGTGCTAAGCGGCATAGTTGACGAAGTGTCTTATGCACCTTGGCATATATGCGTGATACCCGGACGAGCCTGGGCGCCGGCGAGGCGAGCAGTAGGTCTCTCGTCGTGGAGGTCGCGAACGGGCATGAAGTTTCGATGACAGACGCATAACTGTGTTTCTTGGAAGGCTTGGTAAAAAGATTGCCCGACTTGCTAATCAACCGGGTCGCGTCGAGGTGTGGAAAAAGGGCGCGGAAGACGGCCGAGCTGGACATAACCATGTCGACGGGGAGCGAGAACGGCTACGTAAGACAGGTGCCTAATCCACATACTAAACTCCGTATAGCGAGGACGATTTGGAAGAGAGGCTGCGACATGGTATTTACAAGTTTATACTTGGGTCATGCTAAGAACATGACGTGGGATGACGACGGGCGCCGCGCTGATGGGAGTATCAAAAAGGCCGCCTGTCGGGGCGGTGGAGCAGCGGGTTAGTGGGCAAGGGCCGGGATAAGAGACACGGGATAGACGAGTACCTAAGAATTGGCACGATCCCGCACTGCGCTTCGAGTATCCTGCTATCCCTACAGATCCCCCCAACACGCGCCGACCGACGCACCGCCTAACAGCGCTCCCACGCAACCGCGGGCGTTCGGGTCCTTCGCGCTCCCTCGGATTCGACTACGGTGTAAACAACGCCGCCCTCTTTAAATATCCCGTCGGGCATTTCCTAGGCAGGTCATTAAATCCGGGACCGCATTGATTGCGGGCGTCCGCGGGCAAATCGTGCCTGTGCAAGTTCGCCATCATAAGTTGAGCAAGTCCGGGTTAACATCGCGCGGGCTATTTACAGCGTAGCGCCACCATCACCAGCCAGTAGGTAACGCCAACGCCAGTACCAGCAACAACACCACCAGCGGCGATAGGTGGGAGACGTTCACCCGACTGTCCGTCCCCGTGCGACTGTGGATTAGAGCAGGCCCCGAATTGGGCGGTTAGCCACTGAACCTGGTTCCCTCCCGCCCCCGAGTATGCTCAGTCACCGGCAGCTCGTCGAACGCCCTGCGAGCCCTCCCCGGCGCCAGCGGGCTTGCGCGCCCTGCACCAAGGCTAAGGCGCGTTGCCACTTCGAAGACAACAAGCTAGACGGTGGTTGCGATAGGTGATACGCTCCCCTCCCTCCTCGAGTTCACCCGTCCCCCGAGCGTGATCGGTCTGACCAAATCGTAGGTGCCGGCGTCTGGAGATCCCTTGCGCGCCCCAGACCACCAAGAGCCTCAGAAAGCCCAGGCAGGTAAAGCCTACGAGGTATGTTTACTGCCACGAGCCGGGCCGTACCCCCGCGCGCCGTACCTGACGATCGGGGTAAAAATAAGCATGTGGCGCTGACTGGGATGCTGTCTCAGTACGCCCGTCGCACAGCAGCCGGACAGCCACCGTCCGCCAGGGGCGCGCACCACTAACTACGGACATGCCCTGCTATCGGCCGGCCCGTTCGGGGTAGCCGAGAGCGGCCCGTCGACCGAGAGCAACACCTCGTCCCCGGGCTCGGCAGCCAGGGACAGACTATCGCAAAACGCCCATAATGCGACATCGTCGCCTCACAACTCTAGTTCCCATGAGAGCCACAAACCTACAGCGCTGCCGCCGCCGAATCCGCCGCCTAATCCCCAGCCGTTGCTTTCGACGCTGACCCCTCTACTCCCCATCCCCCCTAGCGAGCCCCCGCAACCCGGGTTCGGGTTGACGTGGCTCCAAGCCGACCAGGCCGTATTTGACTACAAAATCAAGTATACCCCTTATTTCCCTTTCGTCATGCTCGACCGCGACGTCTCCGCTCAGGAAGTCTTGGCCAAGAAGCCACTCTTGTTCATGGCCATCATGCTGCTCGCGGCGCAAATCCCGCTGGTGAGGCAGAAGGAAATCAAGAAGAGCATACTTGCCCACGTGGGCCACAACATGATGGTAGCGGAGGAGCGCGACCTCGACTTGCTCCAAGGCCTCATGGTGTATATAGCCTGGTAAGCATAATATCCTGACCGCTTCCTAGGTATGTTGGCCAATCTAATATTCGGCACAGGGGTGAAGAAGATTTCTATATGGACCAGAAAAATACGTACTTGATCTACCTCGCCATGGGCTACGCGCACAACCTCGCCATCACGAGGCCGTATCCTACGCCGAAGCAGAAGCTGACGATAGCCGTCCACCCGAAGGATATCAAGGAAGCTATGGTCGGGCACACCTTAACCACCGTCCTAGAAGAGAACCACACCGCCGAGGAGCAGCGAGCCTTCTTGGGCTGTCACTATCTTCTCTCAGTGTGAGTAAACCCCCTCTCTCGGTGGTAATCTTACCTGACGGCTAACCAGAGAGCACTCTAGGAACTCGTCACAATTCAACCGCGAAGGCATGTTAAAGGGGGACTACGTCGAGCGCTGCCTGCATTCCCTGGTCCGCCCGACTGACTTCGGGACGGACTTTATCCTCGATAGAATGGTCAGGTTCCAGCGGATCGTCGAAGAGATCACCGAAAAGCTGCCCATCCCCAAGATCGGGGAGAGCGCGCAGGTATTCACGCTAGCTATGAGCAACACCATGCAGCTGCTGCGCGTGCAGCTCGATCAACTCCTCGCGAATATAACGCGGGAACATCGACAATTCCGTAAGAGCCATCGTTAATTCGCACCCCCACCTCTGGCATGGCCCTGGATGGACTTTGCATGCTTCCTCTAGGCTAAACGAACATTCACTTACGCACATGTGCACCAGTGCCGTTATGGGCTATGCATAACTACGTCCTGGTCCGGCTGTACCTACTAGCGTCGTACTCGTCCCAACCGTCGGACGAAGTGCTGGCCCAGCATCAGAGGCAGTGTATGCTGTACTGCCTGCAGGCGGCGCGGTCCTTCTTCTCGGCGTCGCTCGCGACGGGACCGGAGAGCTTCTACCAGCGGTCGTTCTCGTCGTTTGCGGAGATCCTGTTCGTGCTGGTGGCGGCGTCGCGGCTGCTGCTGGTGGAGATCGACCTGTGGGACCTCGCGAGCGCGCGGCAGACGCTGGACCTGCCGGCGACCATCGACGAGATCATCGCGTGCCTCGAGACAGCCGTCGACCTGCACGGCCAAGAGCTCGTCGAGGCGGCGGCGCGGTCCGGCGGCGCCTGGGCCCTGGATGGCTCCGGCGACATGCGCAGCGGCACCTTCTGCAAGTACATCGTGAAGCTGCAGTGGATCAAGAACTGGTTCGAGTCGCAGCTGTCGCTCGGGGCCCGCGGCGGCGGCGACGAGCCCCACGTGACGAGCGGCACTAACAACTGGCAGCCCGAGAGCGCGGCGTGGAACCCGTTCCTCGTCGGGTACATGGCGGACACCGACTGGGGTATCGATTTCTAGACGAAGCCGGCTCTCCCCCCCCAGTCCCGCAAGGATTCGCGGACACAAGCGAGAGAGCCAGCGCTTGGCTCGACGGAAAGGCGTGGTTAGATGTGCGTCTGAGCCCCCCGTATTGCGTGGCATTTCCACATATCTGACTGATTCGCGTAGGTACTGCTAGCGAGAGACGACGGTTCCCCGGTGGAATCTGTAACCGAATTCGGGGCCTCCTAGCGGCGCTATGACGGTAACTCGGGGGGGCCGCGAGGTAGGCCCTGGGTACTTAGGTATATTCTCTACATACTGGGGTTTCGCTGTGATCTCGCGGGCGGATTTGGGCCCTGTATAAGGAGTACTGTCAGTTAAACATTCGTCTACTCATCCTTAGGTTGGTGGTGGCCTTCATTGGGAGTTCTTCTTTTTATCTTGCAGAGGGGCTGCATGGCGCCTCTAATTAGAGGGTGGAGGCGCAGGGTAGGGCATACTAGGACGGGGAACAGGCGTCAGATAGGCAGCGATGTGAATTCAATAGATAGATTACGGAAATGATGATTGCTGCCAGTCTCTCTATGGGCTGGATTCGTGATGGTGGTGTCGCTGTCGTTGCGGCGGATTGCAACATCGGATTGACGAGGGAGAGGAGAGCGATCGGATAAGGGCAAGTTGGTTCGCGTATAGCGACACAACGTCATCCGTCGCTGGCGCCACCGGCTCCGCGCGTTCCCATTGGCCAATGTGGTGGGTGGGGTCCAGCGCCCACCCACTTCGGGCCTAGTGCCACAAGAGCCACCAATCAGTGGCGGCTTACCTAATTGGCAGCGGGCATGCGCAGTGGAGCCACGATTGTGTTATCAACAATGCCGCTGCCTGACTGGCCGGTTATCGTCCGCTTGACCTCTCCTCTCTCCCTTTGTTATTACCGACCAGATCGCCCCCCCATCTTCGCTCCCCGTCCCAGCCGGGGGTGTCTCTAAGCCCAGGATGGCATCCGCCGGCAGAGTCGGCTTTAGAAGATCGGCCTATGCCTTGCTACCGGGTACATCTGGCCGCCCGATTGGAGGCAAGGAGGGGAGCGAAGGAAAAATCCGTCCTCTGGTTATCGGTTCCTCCTCTTGGGTTTTCTTAGGCGAAGTCGTAAGAGAGACTACCCAATACCACCTCGCTCCCGACTCGAATCCAACCCCCAAGAGCAGCTCTCACTCCCCTACTCGCCTCACCCTCCGACGATCCCACTCTACTGCCGGTTGAGTCTCCTCCCCCTCGGATCTAGATCAAGTTAGGCTGTGAAGGAGAAGCAAGCTAGCAACATTTTCTCTCCCTCTCTCCACCGCTCGCCCGTCCGTCCCGTAGCCCCCTCCGCCCCTCCCGGACGTGCCCCTCTCCGAACCTCGGATTGAAAATTGCTCGGTCTGAAAGCGGCGAGACCGGTCAATGAGCAAGCGCAGTGACTATGACGGGGTCCAGTCCGAGGATCGGCGCGCTTTGAACCGAGAAGGAGAAGAGGGAGACGACGAGAGCCTTGTCGATTCGGACAAGGAATCCGTCGACGACGGTGACGTCCTCGACCTCGAACTCGGCATCCACAGCAGCGCCTACAATGATGTTGACGCTGCTGCTGCCGCCCTTCTGACGGCATCGCCGCCGTCGCGCGCCCGCGCTACCTTGAACCTCGACACCGGTGCCGCGCTCCCGGACCGCCGCCAGGACCTTGCCGGGGACTCGCTGCGGCCGGCCCACTCGTCCCAGAAGGTGGTCGCGTGGCGTGACCTCCCCCGAAAGAAGCAGCTCGTCGTCATCACGCTGGCCCGACTCAGCGAGCCCTTGGTCCAGACGTCTCTGCAGGTACTTAACCAAACCCTGCCTCCTCCTCGACTTACCGCCCCCGCCGCTACTGTGCGCGATAGCGGCTTAGTTAGTTCAACTAGGCCGTCTCTTTGCTCGAGTGTATTCGCGTATATGCCTACGTGTAGATGTGTGCGTGGTCTGGGTTGCTAACGCACGTGTCCACGTGAGTAGGCGTACATGTTCTACCAGCTGCAGTGGTTCGAATCGAGCCTGCCGGACTCGGTCATCGCGAGCCAGGCCGGCATCCTACACGCGAGCTTCACCGCGGCGCAGTTCTTCACGGCCATGCTGTGGGGCCGCGTCGCCGACTCGACATGGGCCGGCCGTAAGACGGTCATCCTGATAGGGCTTCTAGGCACTCGTAAGGATCCCCCATCTCTCTGCTGCAGCGCGCCGCGTTTTGGTTCCGCGACGTCCCAGTACGGGTTCATCTGCTGACGTGGAAGCTCGTTTCAAGTCGTCTCCGTCATCGGGTACGGGTTCTCGACCAAGTTCTACCAGGCCCTGCTATTTCGGTGTCTGGGCGGCGCCACTAACGGTAACGTCGGCGTTATGCGGACTATGTGAGTGGACGTGTCTTACACAGCTGGTCGACCTGTGGCGTTAACATGTTCGGCATGCTACAGGATCAGCGAGGTTGTACATGAAAAGAAGTATGTCCTGCCTACACTCTTACGACAACGCAGGTTAGTCGTATCTGACTATTCCACAGGTACCAGTCACGGGCCTTTTTGCTTCTGCCTATGACGTTCAATATTGGTGTTATCATCGGCCCAATCCTAGGCGGTATCCTGTCCGATCCAGCCGGGTCTTATCCCGATATCTTCGGGAACATGGATTTCTTTCTCCAGTTCCCCTACGCCGCGCCGAACCTCGTCAGCGCAGGGTTCTTGTTAATCGCTCTAGTAATGTGCTGGTTGTTCTTAGAAGAGGTATGTGTTATCCCCTCGCGTGATGTATGCGAAACCCCCGACTTACGCTGTCGCCCTATCGCAGACGCACGACGCTCTCCGAGGCAAACGGGATCTGGGAATCATTGTCAGACAGAAGATCACCTCTATGTTCAAGAGGCAGGGCACATCCATAGCGTACACTCGGCTGCGCTCGCGTGGTAATAGCATAAGTACAGTCGAGATGTCGCCCATCTCCCCGCGGGACTCGCTCGAGGACCTGCCACCCGCTGCGACCCAGCACCAGCGTCACGCCTCCAGCCCTGGCTCGAAGCGGAGGTACACGCAGACCCTCCCCTTCCGCCGCATCTTCACGTGGAATGTTACCGGCACACTGATCACCCACTTCTTTCTCGCCTTCCACATCGGCACCTTCAACTCGCTCTGGTTCGTTTTCCTCTCGACGCCCGTGTACGACCCGGCTAACCCGGACCCGCCGGGTTTCGTGCCGCACCTCCCCTTTCGTTTCACCGGCGGTCTCGGCCTGCAGCCGCGGTCCGTCGGCATCGCGATGGCAGTCCTCGGCGTCATCGGCATCACGCTGCAGCTGTTCCTGTACCCGCGGATGTCGTCGCGGCTCGGTACGCTGCGCTCGTACCGGCTCTGCCTGTTCCTGTTCCCCGTGGCGTACGCGCTGGTGCCGTTCCTGTCGTTAGTGCCGTCGGCGTCGGCGCCGCCCAGCCCCAAGTCGGGGTGGGCGGTGTGGGCGGCGATCGCGGGCGTGCTGCTGGTGCAGGTGACGGGGCGGACGTTCGCGCTGCCGGGGCAGACGATCCTGGTCAACAATTGCACGCCGCACCCGAGCGTGCTCGGCACGGTGCACGGGCTCGGGCAGAGCGTCAGCAGCTTCGCAAGGACGGTGGGGCCGGCGCTCGGCGGCTGGCTGTACGGGCTCGGGCTGAGCCGCGGCCTCGTCGGCGGCGTCTTCTGGGGGATCGCGGCCATGGCGGCGTGCGGGCTCGTCGCGGGCTTCGGCGTCCGCGAGGGCGACGGCCACGAGATCTGGCTCGGCGGGGACGAGGCGGAGGACGAGGGGCTTAAATGAAAACCTCCCTCTTATGGTTTTGGCTAGGATGGAATGGATATCTACGAGAGGTATGTCGGATTCTCGGGGGCTTTTGGATAGACGGCCGGGACGAGACGTCGAAGACGGGCTGGGAGCACTGGGAATAGAATATAACTACACAGCCAGGATATATATAATAGAACATACCTTGTTAACGAATTACCTCCGCCGCCTCAGTAGGAGCGCGCGAGTGGGAAGAGGTGCCGAGGAATCTATCTGGCCGTTACGCTCAGCGCCCTGCTCCCTTCGCCTCGATACTTACCTAGCTTGTCTACCTCACATTGATTCCGAACGCGTACGATCGTAAACCGCAACCATATATAAATACGCCCTATCCGGGGGCACCGAGCCTACCTCTGTATCACCGACGTACCTATCCGTAACTCGTAACTCATGGCTCATAATTTGTAACGCGCAGCTCATAATTCAGAATCCATAACCCATAACTCCCACCTCCTCAACCAGTCTCCTCCCTCTTCCTTAGCACGCCCAACTTACAGCCCTCACAGCTCTCCTAGGCTATGCTTCCGCACATCGTCGCAGCGCCGCCACAGGATCAGCACGGCATCGGGGTCGCCGCCCCCCGTCGCTGCCGTCGTCGGCGGCGGCGCGCGGCACACCGCCTCGTCGGGCGCGCCGCGTTCGCCGCCACGCACCCGCAGGTGTAGGCTTGCAGGGCGAAGGTACACATCTGCTGCGCTTTTTTTCTTGTTTTCTACTCGTTTATTTTTTTGGTTTTTTTGCGGGGGGTGCGCAACGACTGCCAAAGAAAAACAAAAAAAGACTACTGACAAATAAATGTATTCCTTTCCTCGTCTCAGTTTCCGCTGCAGGAGCGCGAGTATGTTGTCACTGATCTGATCTGGTCTGGTCTGGTCTAAGTCCTGGAGGTAGATGCCTCGGCGCATCCGTGCAAGCGAGACGAGGCGCAACAATCGCTTTATACCGCGGCGGCGACAATGGCTCTCGGCCTCTTCTTGTCCCACGTCATAGCCCCCTCTCCTCGTCGGTGTCAAAGCGGCGGATGCAAGACCAAGACCGCGGCGGGCGCGGAGGAGAAAGGGGAGGCAGACAAAGACATTCACGTGGCCTCTAGGCAATGCTATTGTCGCGCCCCGCGGCCGAGGGTGGTGGTTGTCTCGCGCGGCCGGGGGAACGAGGGTCTGCCGGGCTTTTACTACGGGGGGAGGTGAAGGAGGAGGAGAAGAGAAGGGGGAAGAAGGGAAGGGGGAAGAAGAGAAGGGGGAAGAGGTAGCGTCTTGTGTTTGGCGGAATATGCCCACCTAGTTGTTCTACGGCGGGCGGCCTTGGGATTGCGCGCGGATGTTGCGCGAGAAACATGCCTACACACGTCATTTCGTACGCATCTTCACGGCGTCGGATCCGCTATGCGACTCTTTATCGACGACGCCCTGTCTACCTACGGCGGCGGATCCCAACCCCCCCTCTCGTACCAACCCCTAACCCTACCGTGCCCGCTCTCACACCGCCCCGCTCCCCGCTGGTTCTCCGAGAGAAACACTCTTACTTCGCCGTCGGCGTCGGCGCCGGCGTCGGCAAACCCGCCGCATCAGCGCCGTACGACCCGCCGCGGCGGCTGCAGGCCGTGGCGCTGGCCTGGTTCGACGACGTGACGTACGTCGTGAGTCTGAGAGTCTGGTTAGCCGCCGCGGCGCGGCGCCGCATCTGTAGGTAAGCGCAAAAACGTACCCGATCCAGACCGTCGCCCTCGTGCGCGTGGTCGAGTAGACGGTGTCCGTCTCCGTGACGATGCCGTAGGGCCGCGTGAGCGTGACGGTGGTGTCGGGCCGCGCGCCGCCGCACACCGTCGTGGGCGCCGGCGTGCTGGCGGGCAGGCAGGGTCTGGTTAGCTGCGGTTCGCTCCCCCCCCCGAGCATCTATCTGCGTCTCCGCGTGCCGCGCCTAGATGCGGGCGCGCGCTATAGGGCTGACTTACATGGTGGCGGTGACGGTTACGATCACTGAAGCTAGTTAGCGTCGTGAACTCCGCGAGTGGCCATACTGATCTGGACTCACCATTCTCAGTAGTGGTCTGGGCTGGGACGGTGGTCACGACGGTCTGCGTGACCGTGTACCTGGTCTGGGTGACGGTGACCGTGCTCGTCACCCCGGCCGCCACGTTCGGCTCCGGTGTCTCGAGGCCCGGGGCGGGCGAGCCCGCGACTCCGGCGCCGCCGGGCGACAGGCAGGACAGGCCGATACAGATCATGGGGGTGACATCTGGCACGGAGGGTAACGGCAAGACGCCGTCTTCGTCACGGTCGTATACGAAAGGCTCGTGACCCTCTGGTCCGTAACCGTCCTAACGGCCGTCGACATGATAATTATAGTCACCGGGTTTAGCGTAATATTAAGTAACCGTTCGCGTCACCCCGGTGTATGTAAAATTATTAAAAGGAAAGCGTTTATCCTATCTCGAGGATAGTTATAATACGCATAACTCCTTGTTATGCTGATTAATTGCGAGGTTAAATACTCCTGTAAATAGCCCTGTAAATAACCCTGTAAATAACCCTGTAAATAACCCTGTAAATAACCCTGTAAAGGGGTCATTTAAGGGAAACTCTGTTTTTACTGGCTAAAAAACGCGCTATGGGTCCCTAAAAATGCGTGTACCTAATAAAAACGGCGGGATAAATGGAGTCTTATAATTTGAAATCCTTACGTATATTTATTGACGCGTTTTCTACCCCTATTTCCTGACCTTTTCTGACGCGTTTTCTACCCTTGTTTCCTGACCTTTCCTAACCTATTTTGCCGTGACCTTTCCTGACTTTTCCTGACCTTTCTTGACCTATTTTGCAGTGACCTTTCCTAACCTTTCTTAATCTTTCTTAATCTTTCTTAATCTTTCTTAATCTTTCTTAATCTTTCTTAATCTTTCTTAATCTTTCTTAATCTTTCTTAATCTTTCTTAATCTTTCTTAATCTTTCTTAATTTTTCCTAATCTTAGATTTTAATCCCGTTATGTTACGTAGCTGGCGAGAGCTAAGCTTAGGTTAATAGGTTATTCGTAAAGAGAGTAATGGAATGAGGGTAAGAAGGTATATATTAACTAACTAAAAAAGAAGGAAAGCTACTAGAGAGTATAGAGCGATTTATAGGTATATATAGTAGTGCTTAACTAGCTTAGGTAAGCTAGGTAGTTCTTACTAGGGGTATATACTTACGTAACATACCCCCTAGTTAAGCTTACGATAGTAAGGTTAACTATAGTCCTTTACTTACGATAGTAGCCCAAGGGGTTATTCCTTAGTCTCGTTATACCTTATTAAGGTTAATCGATTACTAGGTACCTTATCTCGGGCTTCCCTATATTCCCTTATCCGTATATGCTCTGGTTTATTACTAGTAGTATTTTCTCCTAAGTTATATGCTTTTCGTACCCCTTATTTAGTACTTTATAGTCTATTATAAATAAAAATAATTACTCGTATAATTATTCGCATAATTACTCGCTTTCGATTAAGCGGTAGTTAGTTATATATATAATGTAGTAATAGTCGCTTTAATATTAATACTAAGATTTAATCTCCTTTATTACTATCGCGCGCGTTCGCGCGCGTTACCTATGCTAACCGATTCTGCCGTTTCTCTTACGAAGGCTATTAAGCTTAAATATATCTAGGATTTCTCGCTCTCGAATTAAGCGTGCCTCTTTTTCTCCCTTTCTTCCCTAGGTTATTTATTATAGATATATATACCTAACTATAATTAAGTAATTCTATTAATTACGCGATCGTAAGCTAATATAACTAATAAAGCTTCGTTAATTTATTATCGTAAGGTAAGTTTACTTCCTTTATAATCTACGTAAAGCGTAGTTCGCGTATTATACGAGTCGTAATATATTCTTATTAAACGACCGTAGGATAATAACTTAGCTTATCGCGGTAAGGATTATTATTTATAATTAATATATTATTTTTAATATTAAAATATCCTAGAATAATAAAGCGACCGTTAATTATTTTATATTAATAAATAAGAGGTTATTCGAGATAATCCGTTTATTACTTACTCGCTATTTATCGGTAGTAATATAATACCGTAATTAACGATTTCTTAGTATATTCGATACTTAAGAACTTCGTAAGATAATACTAGCGCTTTAAGATACCGTAGCCTCGTTAGAAGAAAAGGTACCCGGCTTTTCTACCGCGAATTCCTAGCTTACCTCCCGTATTCGTACGGGGGATAGCGTTAAAGCTTCGGCCGGTAGTCCCGCTCGCCGTAAAGGAATATCCTTTATTCCCGGGTCCGGAGCCTTAGTTATCGCTTAGCCCTTTAAGGATCCTTTTATCGACGAAAGTAACGTCGATATAATCGTACCTAACGCCTTAAGGTAACGTACTTAGGCCTTAGTTACTCGCGTTCCTTAAGGTACCGTATCCCGAGTTATTAAGGTCTTTACCGACGAATTCTTTAAGAAGGAATCCTCCGAGGAAAACTTTCCTTTTTTATACGAAGAAATAATCGAGGAAAGCGACCGCCCGGTTATATTAATTACTCGTAAGGTTCTTTCGCGTAAAATCCGAGCCTAAATTCGCGTATATTAAGTTACGTTCTTTAGTAGTATCGTTATTACTCGCGTAACCTAAGCGATCGTTATTATTATTATTCCGATCCGTAGTAATATCGTAAGACGAAAACGAGGATAAGGACGAAGCCGTAGCGCTTTCTCGGCTTCCGGAACTACTACCGCTTTTATTACTTCCTTTAGCCCGGCCGCTCCGGCGGTCCCGTTTAATACCCCCGTCGCGCCGGCCGCTTTAGCTTTTATTACCGTCGCCTTAGGAATTACTTCGGTTATTCGTAATCGAGAGTACGGAACTCGCCGTATAATTCCTTACCTAACTTACGTACGTAATATAGCTTAAAATAAGTCTATTAAAAAATACTTCGATTCTTTTTAAAGTACCGGCCGTTATTACCGCTACTTATCCGGTTACGCTTACGTACGTTTATAAGTACTCTTATCCTTATACGTCGAGGTCTAAAGTTAATATTATATAAGGCCGACGCTCTAATCCTACCGGCTACTTACTTTATCGTCGCCCGTATCGAGTCCTCGGTTAATATATAAGCTTTATTTTATATTAATTAATACTTATTAACGTTACTTATAGGCCCTTAAGTTCGTTACGATAATAAAGAAGCTCCTTATGTTTTATTAAAACGAAAAGTAAATACCTACGGTACCCGAGACCGTAAAGTTACGACGAAGCGTAATTAATTCCGGTTAATTTACCTAGCTAAGCGTAAGCCTTTCCGTTACCGGCTTATCGATTACCGTAGCTATACCCCTTCTTAGCTTTATATATACTAGTCCTTTTTTTACTTTAATTAACGTAAGTAACGTTTCCGCCGGCCTATCGACCGTAATACCTAGCGTAGCCTCGCCCGTTATCGCTTCCGAATAAGAATTAAATATAAAGATAAAGGACGTTAAAGGAAGGAAAGGAAAAAAGGAAACTTCCGAGGACGAAGAGTAATCTTCTAAGGAAGTAATATCTAAGGTCGCTCGCGACTATCCGCCCGTTTCTTTCGAATAATACCTATACGAAGTATTATACCAATAAGCCGATCGTTTATACGAAAAGATTATCGAGTACTAGAACGAGCCCGCTAATACTCGCGTATTCCGTTAGTTCGGCTTTATTTATTATTCCCGTAATTAAGTTCTTTATTTTAAAATAACCTTCCTATACTAGGATCTAGGAATAATATAAGTTCGGTATTTAGCGGTAAGGAGAGTTATTTTTATATAGCGGTAGTACTTTATACCTATATATTAATTAATTAAGGAAAGAATTTACGTACCGTTAGTACTTACGGCGATTCTTTAAGTATTATCGTAACTATTTTTCCGCGAGTATTCTATAGGTTAAGTAATGCTCTAAAGTACTCGAACGATTAACGTAATAAAGCTTTCGTAAGTCCGTTTATTAATATTTAATTAATAAGGAGGTAGATTACTTCGAAGGTATCCTTTTAATACTCCTAGCGTAGCTATATATTCTATATGTTTATATGACGTAGCCTAGTATTAATCCTTTCTTTCTTTCCTATTATTAGTCTTATCGTTTATTAGTTATCGCTATATACCTTCTAAGGTTCTCCTAGCTTTAAGGTAATATCCTTAAAGAAACGTTTAAGAGCTATCGTTTCCTTAGTTATATACTCTAATGCGAATAATTTAGCTTTAATTATCGATATCGATATTATATCCTAGCGAGCGGCTTTTTATATAATCGGACCTTTAAATAAGGATATTACGTATCCTTAAGACGACTTTCTCAATTCGGAATCGTTTATAAACGAAGCGTTACTACTAATTAAGAGTACCTACGCGTTATTATTCTTATCCCTATACCTTATATTAAGGAAGCGAGTAATATATAGGTATTTAATCGTTTAATTAATCGCTTTAAAGTACTAAGGTCCTGGATTAATTAGGAAATGGGATAGTTAGAACGTTACGAAAGCGACGTTTAGGCGTATTATAATTACGGTATAGAATAGTAACCTTACTTTCTCCTAGTATTCCTTAACTTATTATTTCGAAGTAACGCTTATATACTTTACTAGCTCGGTAATTAATAGTAGTATTATCGGAAACTAACTATTATCCGCTAGTTTAAAGCGTTTAGTAATCTTTTCGATATAAGCGTCGTATTTTAAGGTTATAATTCGTACTTTACGATTACGTATTACCCTAATCCCTAAATACTACTTTATAGGTCTAAGCTCTTTCGTTTTATAGGTATCCTTTAATCCTTAAGCTACCTTTTATGCTATCGCTTTTAAGCTTTTATAGTTTATAATTAATATATCGTTTACGTATATTAATACGAAGACTTCTCGTTTTTTTATATAGAATAAGTACGGCTCCTTTAGAGAGCTCTAGAGTCCTAGGCGGTTAAGGGTACTTTCGATTTCCTTGAACTAGAGTAGGGGTAAATCTCTAAACCCGTATACTACTCTTATAACGAGGGCGCATTTTACTTCTTCCTTAAATCCGTTTAATAACTCTATAGGTATAAGGTCGCTCTCTGGTCTTACTACGTTAAGGAACGCGTTTTTAATATCATATTAATTAACTTCGAGGTCGAATTAGGTTACGATAGCTATTATTATACGGAACGATTTCGTTATTAACGTAATTACGTAAGTACTCTCGAGTAACTCTCTAGGCTATAAATCTCTTCGAATTCTTAAACGCGATTTATAGGTAGTAAGGAAATTATCTTCGTCGAATTTATAATCGAAGACTTATATTAATAAAATTAGCTTTATTTTTATCCGTTTGCGATTAATAATACGTTATACTTTAATACGTAAGAAGGCCTTGATCTTAGATCTAACGTTTTCTTTAAATTACTCTTTTAATGGATACTTATCTAGGTC